CCGCGGGACAGGGCGCGGGCCTGCGCTCCTCGGGCCACCCGGACGTCGAGGGCAGGAGTGGGCAGCACGACGCCCAGCACGTTCCGCTTTTTGATGGTGATTTTAATGGACTGGGCACAGATACCACTTCGGCGAGATCGTCACATTACAAAACCGCAGCCACGAGGGAGAGAGAGAGATCGTTACCGAGGAATCAGGAGGCCGCAGCCGCTCACACCAATCTCCAGACCGGCAGCCAACTCCCCGACGGCGATGAAGCGGGAGTGGCGTTCGGTAACAGCAAAGACAGGGAGAAGATGTTTTGGATGGGTCAGTCTGTCCACAACGCACGAAACGGCTCTAGTAAAGTTCTGTACGAAACTACCGATGTGAACAACACTGGTGTCGTCGGGCTTGGCTTCACATCGGCAGTCAGAGGGGACCAAGACGTGTTACGCTCTGGAAGCCAGAAGCCGAGAACCCAGGTCCTGCCCACACCTGCGGAGCCCACGGCCCCCACGCAAGTCAGCGCTCTGCCCAAGGCGCTTTCTATACCTTCCCCGAGCAACAGAGCTGCAGCCTGTGAGGCCCGTGGTCTGAACTCTGATCAAATGCCCCTTAGCTCTGCCGGCGAGCTCACACGACGGACCCCAGACTGTGCTCTGAGTAAGTCAGTAAAGGACAAAAGGGCCCCCTGTCTTGTGTCTGCGGGAGAGCGGCTGTGGCTGGTGCTCTTTGGATGGGCTCCAGCGGTTATTAAAGGGCATAGAGTTAGAGGGTTCGTTAAGGGGAGGAACTGGTGAAGCGACTGACATAGAAGATGGAGGGACCAACCAGTAGAACAGTATGGAATCAACTGCTACGTTTATCGAGAACAGGAATAGCTTGACAATGGTTTAAGAAATACATGTAACTCCCATGTGATCCTAATGTTCACGTTTGCATTTATGGAGGGCTGTCTAGGTTCTCATGAGCAACACATGAATGGTAGGAATTTTCTTGAACATTTTAGACATTCTTTCCCATTGTGAGACCAGGGATCTTGATTTGGGGTTTAAACATTAAGATTGGCGTACATGCATCCTCTTTTGTTTTATAGATTCCGTATCTGATGTTGCGAGTACCGCATCTTCCGGAATGGATGATCATGACTCAAAGGAAATTTGTCTTGACCATCTGAATAAGGGGTGTCTACTTAGTGAGTAACTTACGGTCTTTCTGGAAGCAGAAACTTTATTAATAGTAATATAGCCAACATTTCTGAGCATTTGCTATATATCAGGCACAATACTAAGAGCCTTATGTGCATCTTCTTTAAACTTCATATCAACCTTAGAAGTAGGTTCTGTCTTTAACCCATTTTACAGTTATGGAAGGTGGAGGAATAGAGATGTTAAGACCTCACATACCCAAGTAACACAATTGGGTTTTGTCCCTACACCACCCAGCCCACCTGTGTTCTTCACCACTGCGTGATAGTATACTTTCTCCTTTTGCAATTCAGTTTTAGGTGAAATAGACTTAATCAGGGACCTATCTTTTCATATACTAAAAGCAAGCTGACAGACAAATCCAAATCACAAAGGTATCCTAGCAGACACATTTTCAAAGTTCATTTCCTGTCCTTTAGGCATTGTCTCTCTTCTGGACTCGGGGCTGTTTGCATTCCTTCCGAACTCTTGCACTGAAGAGACCTGTGCCCTACATGATCTGTGTGTCCTCCTAGTTGCGTTGCCACACCTGGTCACTGTCCCCTCCCACCAGGCTTCCTATAGAAATGATTCCCATGGGACTATGCTGGGGACAAATTGCTGCCCTCTCACTCTTATACCGCTTTCTCACCTTTATATCTCTGTCCCAGGCCTGGGCACTGTGTCTGATTTCATTCACTTGATCACTTTAGTGATCTGAGACTCATTTGCCTTATGTCTGAAGGGGAGGATTCTGCCCTGTGTTCTCTCAATCAAAAGTCTTTAACTTAAAATTTTGTGTTTTTTTAATTGTGGTAAAATATATATAACATAGATTCCTCCCCATCTTAATCATTTTTAAGTGTACAGTTCAGTTAGTGTTAATTATACTCATATCAAGATCTTTTTATCTTGCAGAGCTGAAACTCTGTACCCATTAAACAATAGCCCCTCATTTTCCCCTTTTCTAGCCCCTGGTGGCCATCATTCTAGTTTCTGTTTCTATAAATATGACTATTTTAGGTCTGTCATATGTGTGGAATCACACAATATTTATTTTTGTCCAATGGGCTTATTTCACTTAGCATAATGTCCTCAAAGTTCATTCACGTTATAGCTTGTGTGAAAATTTCTTTCCGTTTTAAGGTGGAATCATATTCCGTCATATGTATATTCCACACTATATTTATCCATCTGTTGATGGCCACTTGGATTGCTTCTACCTTTTGGCTATTGGGAAAAATGGTACTATTAACATGGGCGTACAAATATCTGCTTGAGATTTTGCTTTAAATTCTTTTGGGTATATATCCAGAAGTGGAATTGCTGGATTATATGGTAATTCTATGTTTAATTTTTTTGAGGAACTGCCACACTGTTTTTCACAGCAGCTGCACCATTTTATTTTTCACCAGCAATGCACAAGGGTTCCAGTCTCTCTACATCCTCAGCAACACCCATTCTTTTCTTTTCTTTTTTTTTTAATAGCAGCCATTCTAACGGGTGTGTGGTATGAACTATAAGGAATTGTTATATACTTTCGAATCAGCCAAATCTCAGGCAGTTTCATTCTATGAGTTCCCTGTGACGTCTAAACCTGCCTCTTTTTGTTTTAAAATACTCACATACCTTGAGGACATTTCGAAACAATTTAAACATAACATAATGAAAGTTGTGAAAAACAACTATTTTCTGTATTCCTGTATTACAAGCTTATAACATTAATTCGTTATTCAGCAAGCATTCTTTTACTAGCTATCTTTGGCATGCCCAGCTCTACGCCAGTCCTGCAAGGGAAATATAAGCTAAACAATGATGTAAGCTGTTCTTCAATGATATGTAATTACAGTAGGGTATCAGAACTTCCACAAATGAGAAAACTGCATAAAATAAGTAAATACATAAATTAAAAAGCACAAACGATACTGAGTGCTGGCTAAGGGAATACAGAATATAAGTCAGATCAGAACAGAGAGAGATGAGTGAGGGAATCTTTCTGGAAGAGGCAAATAGTAGGCGAAGCTTCAAGGAAAGACAGCAGTGGCCTGTGCTGGGGAGCATTTTGTCTGCATATATCCACTTTGGTACAGAGAGGGTAACTTTAAATTTATAACGACCTCAAATTTACATGTGGGCAAAGGGGCTTTTGGGAGAGTGGGAATCTTTTGTTTTCTGATGAGTCTCCATTGATAATAAAGGAACTCAGAGACATAGGTATGAGGCAATTCAGGCAGCAGCCAGCATGAGCAAAGGTGTAGATGGGAAATGTGCTTGCATAAGGTCTGGCAGGGTGCAAAAGGCAGGCCTTGATGGGGAAAGTCGGCAGTGAACTTGGTTGAACTAGTTGGAACCTCCACTCAACAGACCCTCAGACCTCCTCTCTGTCTTTGTAGACGACTGCAACAAAGTCCACTTCGTCCTGCCATACCGGTGGCAGATGTTAAATGCCAGCACCTGGATGGACCTCCAGCCCATGGAGAATATTGAGAAGGCCTACTGTGACCCCAAAAACAGCATGTAAGTCAGTGGCTGGACTCTGGATTGTGAGAGCCAGGATATCATCAAAGGAAAACAGTGCTAGCCTATGGGAAGAAGAAAAGAGTTTCCTTTAGAATCTCGTTCAAGTTTGAGATTAAAACAGCAAACGCCTGCTGAGTTAATGAAAACAACAACAACAACAACCCATTAGCTGGGTAGATTTGAAGTCATGCAGAGCCTGACTGATACTAAGGATTCTGGGACTGTTTTCCTAACTCATACAAAATAAACAGTGACATGATTATTTGTTTAGTTGCTATTTGTCAGTGTATTCTGCAGATAAACACAATGCAGAGGTTTGTTTGCGTTCCTATCAGCTTGTGGTAGGACTATTAAAAGTACTGAATGATTAGCTCAAAAAAGGCTTCAGCTTAATTTCATAGTTTTAGAACATGATTTGAGTAATTGCATATAGTTCTGGTGCAGAATTTCGTTGTTTACTTTGGCATTTTATAAATAGCCTTTATGTTTGCTATTTCCTCTGTCCTGGAGATACCTTACGTTTTTGTTTCTGTCAGGACTGAAATGGGTGATACCATTCGTGACCATATTTATAAGATGCATCCTAGTTTTATAAAGAAATTCTTTGGGGCAGAAAAATTACATACATTTCATCATCTGCAAATTTAATGAATTTTTGTTGGAGATTCTGTTGCTGCGTTTTGCCACTAGAGGGTGGCATCAGCTATTTTCTTGTTTCTAGGTGATTTTTTTTTTACCCCCCTCAGTAAATCTGAAGCAGGGTTTCTTTTCTTTTCTTTTCTTTTCTTTTTTAAGTTTATTGGGGTAAAATTGGTTAATACAATTATATAGTTTTCAGGAGTACACTATAATTTGACGTCTGTATATTCTATTGTGTGATTATCACCCAGAGTCCAGTTTAGGGTTTCTTGACTAAAGCACTATTTTTTGGGCCAGATAATTATTTTGTGGGGGCAGGGGGTAGGTTAGTAGCATTCCTGGCCTTTATCCACTAGGTGTCAGTTGTGATAACCACAGTTCTCTTTAGACATTGCCAAATGTTCCCCCAGGGGACAAAATCATTCCTGGTTGGGATCAAGGGGGTACTTCTTAGAGCAATAATTCTCAAACTTTTTGGATTCAAGACCCTTCTACAGTCTTAAAATATATTGACAATCTCAAAGAGCTTCTGTTCATGTAGATTATAGCTATCAATAAAAAACAAACAGAAAAATTAAATATTGATTCATTTAAAAATAACAAACTCATTACATGTTAAAATAAAGGCATTTTACATAACTATACTTATATAATTGTATGCAGTAGTTATATGCATTTAACTATACTTGTATATATGTATAACAAAACTTAACTTTTCAAAAACAAAACAAAATTCATTGAAAAGAATGACATTGTTTTATACATTTGGAAATCTCTTTAACCTATTGTGAAATCACACATTATGTAGCTTCTGGAAAACTCCACGGGGCACCTGTGAGAGTATGCAACTGAAAAAAGGCAAATAATGTCTTAACATTATAAAAATAAATTTGACCTTGCTGCCTCCCTGGAAGAGTCTTGGATTACACTTTGATAACTATTTAAATAATATAATTGAAAAAACTGACCTACTGAGAGTTTCTGACTCACTTTCTAACATTGAGCCAATCAGTTGTTTTGTGGGCACAGTTTTATTTTGGGATATTTTTTGAGGAAAGAATACATTTTGGGACACCATTAAATATGTCAAGTAGACAAGTTACATTACCGCTCTGTATCTCAGTTTTTGGGTTTTTTTTTTTTTTTTATGCGTTAAGACCAGGAGCTGTATCAAGAAAATTTGAAGGTTCCTTTCAGCTCTAAAATTTTAATTCTTTGCTTCTGTTAGGAAAAACCAGATTGTAGGAAACAGAAGTCACTGAAGCATTTTGTTAACTTGAAACTTTTCCCCTCTCAGCATTTCTTTGGGAAATTATAGAATCGATTTCAAGAAAATGACTTGTAACTTTAATCCCATCCGACGTCTCTCCACGCCTTCATCTGTCCGGATTCCGAGCGGTCTCACCTTCACCACGAAATGGATTTGGTATTGGAAGAGTGAATCTGACACATGGGTCCAATATGGGAAGGAGGTGAGTTCCATCCCTTCTTGTGGAGGCACGTGTTTAAACTTGTCAATTCCAGAAGAAAACCATTACTGAAATGTTTGACGCCTGCATGATTACCCATGGAGAGTGGACGTGGTAGAGGAAGTGTTGCTTTTTTATGTTATCCACACTGTATTTGCATTTTTATTTTTAGCAAGCATGTAGTCTGATTGCAGTCATCAACAAAAACATCTATTAGCTATTTTTAAGGAACTGCTTGAGACATGAGTCAGCTACATGTCCTTTTTTCCTCACTGTCAAGGACTGGCATGGAACCTTGAGCTGGCTTTCTGTGTATTAGTAATAACTGTACAGAGACTACTGCTTCCAGCCAGAAAAGAAGGCAAGAGTGAAGAATCAGAGGGCTGATATAGATGGTCACTAGGATTCAGAATCTGGATTCGGATGGACTACAAAGACTGGATCTAGAAGAGTCTAGGCTTAGCCATACAGCAATATAGTAATGGGGAATAGAAGTTAGATAAGCCGAGCCTCTGTCTAGTGTCCCTTTCTCCTTTTGTTTCATCAGATTAGAGAGAGAGAGAGAGAGCAAACGAGCAAGAGTGAGCTTAAGTATGTTTCCAGGTTAGAACCTCCCTAGTAGAAACTGAGAGGCAATGAAAGCAGAGTGATGAGAAAGAGAAAGTAAAAGCAAGAGATTAAAACGAAACTCAAAGACAAAGAGGGACACGGAAATGTCAGCTTAAGGTTCGACATAGTTAGAAGTCAATGGGCCGTAAATTTGGCTCTGAGTTGCCTAGCTGCCAAAGCAAACAAAGAAACAAGCTGGTATGAGACGCCCTGGACCCTATGGGGAGAACGAACAGTTACTCAGGAAGAGCTATGCTTTTTTCTGTTGGGGCCAAAGGAAGACATCTGCTGTGGAGCCACATAGAGGGGACCGTGCATGCTGTGAGTGAGGCCCGCAGCGGGAGTCCTACCGGCACTGTGTACGTAGCATAGCGGTTTCCCAGCTGTCCTGTGTTCAAACGGTCCTTCGCGGGACCGCAGTGAGCACGCTGGAGTAACAGGAGCCGCCCTGTGCCCATAGGCCCGGGGCTCAGAGCCGGGCTCTTGGTCCCCTTCCCCTGCTCTCCTCTGTCCTGTGGTGGCCGCTGGAGCACCTTGGTGTGAAAACCTCCCCGATGTTGAGCTTTGTACAAGTTCTTTTTGTGTTCAGGCCAAGGATGGTGTCAAAGTGCAGGTTTTTGAAAGTGATTCTGTGAGACGCCTGTGGAGATAGAAATTATAAAGTCCAGTTAATTAAAATAAACCATGGACCTCAATGGTATTAAAGTCAAATGCTTGACGTTTTCAATAAGATAAGAGAAAAAGGTTGGAAAATATTTACATTCTAGTGACATTAGGGTCCCAGAGACTAAGGAGAACTCTCTGTGGGGCATAGATGATATTTAAATTTACCCAAGTTCCGTTATTCCGTAAAACATCAAGAAACTTCCTGATGAAACTTCTTTAATACAGGATTCTTCCTGGGAAATTTAGTCTGTATTAAATGCAGAGTTTTGGAATGTAACTTTCAACCTGTGAACATATAACATGTATTCATTTAGTCTGTAGCACATATCTATTATAAGAAGTGTTCTTGAAGATGTGACTAAATTCCTACTGTCTTATATTAATTAGAACCATTATTATATAAAATGAGTTGGTTCTTCTGTTATTAAAAAAAAAGAATGTGGCAACAGAAAGAAATCTAACTGTGGGTAATGAACATACAATGCAAAAAATATATATGCCTTCCTGTTGAATCGTACAACTGAAACTTACTAGGTTTTGTTAACCAATGACACCATAATTTAAAAAATAAATAAATAAATATTTTTAAAAAGAAAGGAAGGAAAACAGGATCTATATTTGGTGTTTTTCTAGCTGGCTGTCCAATTAAAATAAAAATGGCTGTTCCAGGAGATTTGAATACAAACATAATGAGCAGCCTGGTTTCTATCATTCTTTCTTGTAACCGAATTTTAAATAAGAGTTGGGCAACTGAGGTTTCCAGGTTAGTTCCTGGCAGGAACTGGGAGAACAACCTTTTGCCAACAAAGGGTAGGTACGTATGCTTTGACAGTGAACTCTCTGGAAGGTAGACTTGATATCCTTTTATGTACATTCTGGTGCTTAACCGGGATTTGTACCCACAGAGATGGTAGACACGAAGAGGACGTGGTTTCAGGAGGAGCGATGATTGATAAGACAGGCAATTGGGCAGTGATGATGAAGGATGGAGTTATGGCAGGAGTGGCAGGTGGCAGAGCCTGGTAGGCACGAGGTGCACATCTAGACCCTCAGACATGTTTACCAGCAGGTAGCTAAGTTTAGTAGCCATGAAAGCTGGCATCGAGGAGTGGCAGGAGACCATGCATGGCCTGAGAGAATTACTCAGGGCAGGGGCAAGACATAGCTCTAGAAAGCCAAGGTCAAGGCAATAATGTAGATACAGGGCAAAAGCCAAAACCTGGTTACTGAAACAGGCGTACATTTGAGTCTCCTGGGAGAATAACTAATTGAAGGTTCTACCATTCTTTCATTCACTCCTTGAGAACTGGAGTACAGTGTGAGGGCAGGGCCAGAAGAGGGTCCAGCGGAACCATACTCAGCCGTGCAGATACTCAGACACCGACTCATTGGCCTTGTTCTGTCCAGTTTCTACAGGGTGGACTCTCCTGGCAGGCAGTTGAGAAATATAGGACTTATAGACAAGACTGTAAACGGGCGTGGCCCCAATATGGAAGCCTTTGTAACCTGGTTTGGGAGGCAAGAAGCATTCCTCTTTTAATCCCATGACTAATATAAAATTATATAAGATACAATGATAGAGATTTATTAAAAGCCTACCCTGAAATCTTTACTTTTCTTTTTTTAATTAGGTAGGCAATCAGCAAACTTCAAATATCGACTCTTCATACCTGGAGTCTTTCTTCCTGTTATATCCAAGGGGGATTGTGCCATTTCAGGCGGGTTCACGGAACTACGAGCTGAGTTTCCAAGGTAAGATTTTGCTTCTGGCAGTGGTGCCTGTCGTGGGATTCCGGCATGAGGTGGACAAGAGCAGAGGGATGTGCATGCTGCACCCAGGATCAGGGTTCTTTTTAATAAGACCGGAAGTATAGGGTGTGGAAGCCAGTGGCTGTCAGAAGGCCTGTGAGCGCCTCGCCTCTGACACACAGTGGCCGTGTAACTCTGTGAGGAGCCCCTGGCCTCTCCAGGCCTCAGTTCCCTCATCTGCACAATTTGTTTTATCTATTCTAGGACTTCATATAAATTAAATCTCTGTCACCTCCATACTCTGCATGTAGCTGATTTCTTTCACTCTGAATGTTTTTTTTTAGATTTATCTATGTGGTTATATGTATTGTAGTTCTTCTCTTTTCATTGCTAAGTATATTGTAAGACTATTTGTCTGTCTGTCTGTCTATCTATCTATCATCCATCTATCTATCTATCTATCTATCTATCTATCTATCTATCTATCTATCTATCTATCTAATCTATCCATCCACTCACATACACACACCATGGTTTATTTATCCATTCACCTCTTGATGGATATTTGGATTGTTTTCACTTTTTGGTTATTATGATACTACCAGGAACATTTAACTGCAAGTCTTTGGATATAGGTTTTCATTTCTCTTGGCTAAAAAGCAAGGAGCGGGATTGCTGGATCGCACAGGCAGTGTATGTTTATAAGAAACTGCCAAACTGTTTTCCAAAATGGCCGTGCTATTTTACCATCTCACTAGCAATATCTGATGACTTCTTTTTCAAAGAGATCACTCTGTTTGCAGCTCGGACCTAGATCTACAACACGTCCGAATTGGAAATGGCATTTCACACTCAATGTAGAAACAAATCTTTAAAGTATATCTAACTCACGCCAACTCTTCATCATTGACGCCTGGTTTAGGGCAGCTTACGTGGATGATGTGACTTGGTTACCCTAGCCTCTCCTCTTACCATCCACCTTTGATTTAAAGATTAGATTGATTGCCAAATGCTCATTTACTTCTTTGTTTTCTGGGTCTTATCAAAAGGGCAGTGACAGTTACAAGTTTTTGTCATCAGCAGTTTCCATCCGAAATGATTTTCTCTGTTCATACATGTACAGTTCAGACATGAATATTCGCTGTTACTAGCCTCTGAAAAATAACAATAAATCATTTTCTAGAATTAATTCTTAATTCTTGTTTGTTTTCTTTTTTTCTGTCTAAAGGGATGATTCAGACAAACGTAGCTTCCAAGACCCAAAAGGATGTCATCCGAAGGCCAGAATTTGTGTCTGCCCAGGATGTGGCACGGATGAAAAGTGGGCCAGAGTAAGTGTTCTGAGGCACTGCTTGCTGGCACGTTTGAGATGGTCACGCATTGATCTCACCGAGTCATTCTCGAATCCGCAGCCTGTTTTCTTGAAGTGTTCCTGTTGTGTTACATTGCAGTTTCCATTTGCGTTATCTATGGGCAAAGTGCTTGCTAAGCAGCAGAGTGTGATGGAAAGAGTACTAGAGCAGGAAATCTGTCATTCCCTGTAACTCATAGGGGACTTCCCGCAAGTCCCTTAGCTGCTCTCGGCCTCAGCTTCTTTGACTGCGATGACTATATGAATGGGGCGCACCTCGGAAGTGATCAAATGCTTCGGGTTTTATTCTGCTGTGGGTTCTTCTGTGTAGCCTTTGTTTTGTTGAGGGAATTCGTAGAGGATGGGAGGCTGAGAAAGAAATGGGGACTGAGGAAAAAAAACCCTGAGCAAGGGGATTTGGAGATACACTTGACAAAAAAGGAATTTTGAAAGAAATTTTGCTGTGTGGGATTCAGTGTAACACTCCTGTGTGTGCTCATAAAACTCAGTAAACTCAACATTGTTCATGATCATTTTTTGGAGTTGGATTTTTTTTTTCCTGGGTGATGTGCGATTATATAAAAGAGATTTCAAGACAGGTATAAATTCAAGGTGTTCTAATTAGCTTCTTTTGGTTGTAGGAATTAAGGTATTTAATGAAAAAAGGAAGTTACTAAAAGGATAAACATGGTGTAGTAAAGAAAACATTTCATGAGAATCCAAGGGTGGGAACTGAGCTATATCAAGGCCTCAGGAATGGGCACCTGTTCTTATTCTGCTTTGGAACCTGAGCAGCCTGGGGTCACAGGTCCTTGCTTGTGACGGGGTTAACAGCCCCGACTCTCGATCTACATTCCAAGGTTCAGATTCTGCCTGCTACTCATGAATTGTGTGGATTTGGGCAAGTGAATTACTCTGCATCCCCTCATCTATAAAATGGGCTTAATGATAGCACATTTGTCAAGGTTGTTTGATGAATGCATTCCAGACACTCAGGACAGTGGCCGGCACGTCAGAGTGTTCAGTAAATGTTAGCTGCTTTTCTTCTTACTAGTTTTATTCCTCTGCTGTTAACAGACTCAATGACTGTATCTGTATCTATTTCTATATCTGTATCTCCTAATACTTTTCTGTGGCTGTGGCTCAACAGTTTTTAACCTCAGAATTCCAATCTTCATATCTCTTCAGCTTTGCCTTCTGCCATTACTGCCTAATTATCTCTGAATATCTTAATTCAAACTCCTAGACTTGGAAACAGATTGTCCTAGCCATCCAGAGTCCCTTCCAGCTCTTTCATATTCAAATTAATAAAGTAAAAATATTGCAGCGTGGGGAAGAGTAAAGTTTGTGCCCTCATTGGAGCTTACACTCTGATGGATGAGACAGGATGTCTCTCTAATGACTTCAGTTAGTAAGAGGTGTTAGCAGGGCAGCAGGACAGGAAGCGGGTGCTCTTTTTATTCAGGTGACTAGTGAGGTCATTGTAGTTTAACGTCTTATTCTTTCAAGTGGTTCTGGGAGGATGTCTCAATAAAAAAAAATTCAAGCTGTATTTTCTTAAAGCAACCTGCAGTTTTGACTTTTCAACAATTCTTGCACTCCTATTTGGTCTCCACCAGTGAGACCATGCTTTGTTGCCTTTCAGGAACTGGCCAGACTCTTCCTTTTTAACTTCAAGCTGGATGATTTCTTCTGTGCACATATAATTCCAAGGGAAGAATTTGGTTTGTGACATTTCCAAATATTTCATGAAATCAGTCCATTGTCTGTCTCAATAATTTACATGCCATAGTTACCTCTTGCTTTTCCATTTGTTCTTCCTCTTCTCCGGAAACATCTTCCCCATCACTCATGTAAATCCAGCGTCTTTCGTGGCCCAGCTTGAATGCCACTTTCCCCATGCAAACCACACTTGGGACTGTCCTCCAGTCTTCTCCTTTGCCCTCCAGTAACACTTCGTAAGTCCCTTATGGTACTTGCCCATTCGACCTTACGATGTAGTTTTCTGTGTAGCCATCTTCCCTAGCACAGCTCTCCCTACCTCTTCCCTTCTGTTCCGCTGTTATCAGCCCCCTAAAGCTCTTGAAATATTTTGCACAATGAATGGTACATAGTGATACTAAATGGACAGCTAAGAGAGTGAATGAATAAAATGAATTGAGAAAACCCTGTTAGTGGGAGGTCATGTAGAGAACCAGCTTTAATCCTGCTGTCACCAGCCCGGAGGAGACACATTTGCTTTAGGATAGAATAAGGGCTGTGAGTGCTCTCTCACACAGTCCAAAGAGAAATGCACTCTGTAGCACACTTTTTTGTCGATGGGCACCTTAAAACAATTTAATCTGCTCTCTACTAGACAAATTCAGTATGGAAATCTTGAATTTAAAATATAGACACGTTGGAGCCAATCTCTCACCCCAAAAGAAACTTCATTTTAGAAAAGGAGATCTTGAAAGAGTTTTTTCCTTAAAGCATTTTTTAAAAATTTAGTATTTCATTATGGAAAATTTCAAAGTTGGAGAAAATTGTACTATAAGTCCCTATGTATGTGTGTGTGTGGGGGGGGTCAAGGAATCAATATATTTTATCATTCTTATTTCATTTATCTCTGCCATCATCTCTACGTTTTTTATTTTGCTGTAATATTTTCATGTAAATCCCACACATCATATCATTTCACTGTAAATACTTAAAGTGTGTCTCTAATAGATAAGAAGTTTTAAAAAACATAAAATACCGTTAACCCACCTACCAAATTTGATAATTTCTTAATATCATTTAATACCCAGTTCATGTTCTATTTTTTCCCCATTGCCTCAAAAATAACTTTTTACAGTTGATTTATTTCAGTTTATATCAAAACAGGGTATGTATATTAAATTTGCTATATTTGTCTCTTTAGCCTCTTTTAATCTATTAGTTTCCCCGCCTTCACTTTTTTTTTTTTTTTAAAGAAATGAGGTCATTTGACCTATAAAATCTCCCCAATTCAAAATGTAGCAAGTTGTATCCTCACGGGGTCATTTGAGTGTAATTTTTGTGAATTGATAGTTAGATTTAGAGGGTTGATTAGATTTGGTTTCCATTTTTGATCGAGAATACTATATAAGTGGTGATTTGTACTTCCTGTCAAGTATTCTTAAGAGGTACACAGTGTCTCGCCATCCTGTTTTTAGTGATGAAGGTGGGAGAGTGGTCACTTTAGTCCGACCCCTCCATTATAACATTCCTCATCTGATATGTCACTTAATGGTTTTAGTAGCTATTGACAGTCCTTGTTCAGATCCATTATTAGGGGTTGCAAAATGTTGGTTTTCTAATTCTGTCAATTCTTCTGTAATTAATAGCTGTGATTGTCTATAAAGGAGAATTTTTCCTCATGTATGGTTACCCTGAAATACAGTTCATAGGTAGCAGGATTCTTTCCCCTGTATCTCTGAGACTTAAAATGTTTATCATTTGACACAGTAGCTGTAAGACACACTGAATTCTAACACATTAAGACCCTTGAAGGCTGAGCAGGAATAACGAAAAAGAATCAATGCTTTTACATTTTAAATGAATGGGAAAATAACATTTAATTAATTTACCAAAGTATGAATAATTTCTGCATTTTAAAAAAAGCATGATTACTGGTACATCTATATCAGAAATATGCAGGAATGTAGTCCAAAGAAAAGTACAAAGGAAAAATTCCCTGAGAAACCTTTGCTTAGTGCCCGGAAGTTAAGGACAGAAGCGACTTGGGCTCGTAGGATGGGGAGCCAAGTGAATTCTTACTCTTTTATTTGTAGCAGTCAGCCGGCGCAGACCCAGCTGGAGACTCTGACCTCAACATTCCTTCCTCAGGTGGACTTTTCCTTCCCATCCTCGAACAGATATCAGGTACTTGGTTTTAACTTTTTGGCGGGTGAATTATTTAAAGGTGGGGAAAAGTACTTTGCTACAGATGAGTGTGTGAGTGAAAGAATGAATGAATCGCTTCTGTAAAACTCTTGGATCGTGATTCAAAGGTGGACATCTGAATGGCGATTGTGTCACTGTCCCAGCGGAGGACTGCCCCCCGCAGGGCATCTTGTTGTCTCCAGAGTCCAGCCACACAGGATCTCAGTGGGACAGACTCTCAGGACAACCCCGTGAGATAGATACTAGTATCTTCCTTTATCGATGAGAAAACTGGAACTCAGAGAGTAAAAGTGACTTGTCCACTGGTTGGAGTTAAAAAGCTGGGAGTCGCACAGACTGTTCCTCACCTCCTCACCTAGCCTGGTTGGGGCAAGACTTTCTGTATTGTTTAGCCTCCACATTATGCTCCATTTGGGGGTGCAGGCTGTTTGCTTGGGCTCCATGGGCGCCGCCACTGCCTCTGCCCCTGCACTGGCTTTGGGCAAGGAACTCGCCAGGTGACTGAACTAAATCAGACACCTCAGGGGCCTCCCTTTGCTGTTAGCCATAAGTCACCCTCAACAGATGGGCCCAGTGCCAGCTAGTTCACTACTAAAATGAACTGCCACATGGGGAAACCTAACCCAGCTTATCCCACCCGTTTTCTGAGGCCTGGCAAGGATACCCCATGACATGTGGACATATTGTGCTTTAAATGTTTCCTGTTTCACGTTTTCATATTTAAAAAATTTTTTAGTTGTTAGAGCTCAATAACCAGCATCCGGAATATGTCAAAATAAGCGAATATTTTAAAGTAAGCATGAAAAATGTCAAGATTGAAAAGATAAAGAAGATCAAGAACACACAGCTCTGGGATGCTTTCGAAAGGTTGGTGGCCACATGATCACGTTTCTTTATAGAAAGTTTGAAAAGATGGGTTAAGATCTGTCCTTTAAGACTTACATTCACTGATGTCTTTTACTGGTCAGCAGTTTCTTCAGTCTCTAGTTTTCTTTGTGTAAACTTGAGCTTCTCTCGTTCAGCTTTAGTTTTACAATTCAGTGATTACATGTGTCCGTCATTTAAGTTTTCATGATATTTTATAGCTGTTACCTTAATGTTAGTAGCTCCCTTCTGAACTCTGCTGAAATAGTATATTTAGACAATTAGACTGTAGTTAGGATTACTGTCATTAACTAGAGTGGGAGAGAAATGTTCTCAGTATTAAGTTTTACATTTCCTGTATTAGGAAAAAAATGAAGATGAAGAAGAAGAACGAACAAATGCTATTTTATGCAACATGCCGTGCCAATGTGGATTTTATCTGTGCGAATAATTTTGACTGGGCCTCACATGGAACTGTTGAAACCAAATACGGAAAAGGTTTGTGCTGGAATAGAGCAGCCTAGCTAGTAGAGTCATAACTCGGCTCTATACATGCTTCTCATATGAGGTATATGTAATTATTTTGTATTAACCAGAATATTCAGGCTTTCACAGTGATGGAGAGAAAATAAGCTCCCCTTAACCTTAAGTGCCCAAATTCAAGTGATAAATTGACTTGGGACTTGATTGCTACACCTTAGCCTGGCTTTTGTCTTCTCTGATTTTTTGGTGGGGTGGGAGAGGGGGAAGGACCAAAGAGTCTCATACATGGTTGCAAACTATTACACCTGTTGGCTGCATTGTCTGCCATTACTACTCAGTTCTGGCTATGGCTCTTCCTGACCACATCCATCCCTACAAAGCCCCTGGGAATAGTCTTCTATTGCCACTCATGGATTCTCATTAGAGGTAGGAGAAGAGGCCTTTCCCCATCTCAGAGTCTCTCTTATGTCAGAACTGAAATATCTATCTTAGAAAATGGAAATACAGTATAAATGTGTTCCCAGTTTGGGCCATAACTGGCTCTGATAGCGACATACATGGATGCTTAGTCTTTCTCCTCTTTTATAAACAGAAGGGTACTGAAGCCCTCTGAAATATATTTTGCTGATTTGGTAGTGTTACTCACTTGCTATTATTTTTCCTTTAATTTGGCAAATGAGGGAGAGTCGTTGACAGCCAAGAAGACACCCTCGTGCAGCAAGGATGTAGCCTGCAGTTCTCACCGATAGGCAAGGTGTTTCTCCAGGAACTTTGCCCTTTTTCCCCATGCCGCCCTCCCTTGTGAAGGTCAGGGAGTGATCCTTCTACTTGGCCTGTCTCTTGTTACACAGAATTAGGAGGGGTTTTTGTTTTGTTTGTGTTTATTTTTAATGTCAGTGTTCTGTTCCCATCACCCATGATGCTATTATTCCTGGCTAGATAGGCTGGTGTGAACCACCGGGCCTACAATCTTAAAAGGTCAGGCAGTTATCCTATAAGAGGCCAAGCGGTAGATCTCAGAGATGCTGCTACCTGCTGAGGGAAAGCAAAGCCCCCGTGGTGCGCGTGTCAGACCACTCTGCGAGGCTGTTATCTGTGTGATTTTCTAGAGACTGCCTTCAAGGGGTATCGAGCGAATAAGACATGCCTGGAAAGATAGAAGGGCTCTGGGCTACAGCTTGATAAACAGGAGACAAAAAGTGGGTATCTACTGGGAGATGGAGGATAATCATGGACAGCGTGTTAGTGAGAGAGGTCCTAAGAGCTGTCCTTGGGCCAGAACTGATCAGTCTGGATGGAGGACAAGAACCACAGCAGTTAGGGAAAAGCCACTCAGCTCTAAAGAGGAGACTATAAAAACTGAAATTTGGATAAAAAGTAGAAGAAGGTGACATTTGGAAAAGAAGCACGTATTTGGGCGGTAGCTAAGCAAAGGACCCGTCCTGGCACAAACTGGACTTGAGAGGCTAGATGGGAGGCGCATACGGCCAGGAGCGTATTTCAGATGTGAGGTCCTGCTAGGCTTCACGATGTCTATGAAACTGCCCAAGATTCTGCAGCCCAGGTGCATCAAGATGCTAAATGGTTAGAAAGAAAGAAACGAAAATGTTATTTTTAAAGATAATATGGGTGTCTAGATAGAAGAAAGCAAAAGAAGCTACAGAGAATTGGAATGTTGGTGCTCCACACAGGAGGTGAGACGCATGCTTCCCTCTGCCACCGGACCGCTCTGGCACCCCTTCACTTCCAGTCCAGGCCCGGGGTGGCGGGGCCTGAGGCCCCTGAGCGACCAAGTCAGAGCTAACTGGACCCTTTTTGACTGTCAGCCTACAGAGGGTTCCTTCCCTGGTCTTATTCATAGTTTTTTTTTTTCCTCCTAGCTAAAGCCTTTTATTTTTGGCAATGCATTTCTAGATCCTATTTTGGTCATCAAAAGCTGGCCAAGATTCTTCCTTTCTCCTTATGAATTTCTTCTAATGATTCTAATTCTCTCTAAGGCAAATCATGTGTCTGGCTAAATAAAAGATGGTTATTTATAAAAAAAAAAAAAAATTTGCGAAAAAAACACAATGCTTTTGACAGTATTATTGCATTACATCAATTATATTGTGTGAATCGAAAAACAAATAAAGTAGATTAAAGAAAATCAGCATATTGTGAAGTCTAAGTGTGACCTGTGGAACAAACAAAAGCTAGCTAGGCCAAAAAAAAAAAAAAAAAGTGGGAAAAGAGCGTTTATGGAGACGAGAGATTGGCAAAGGCCTGGGAGGCTGTAGCTAGAGCAGCACATTGAAGGTGTGGTGGGAATGACACAGACGAGGCCAGAGCTCTAGGCTGGCGTCAGATCCTGATAGGCTTCACAAGCCATGCTAAGGGGATGGAGGTTTTTCCCGAGGGCAACGGTAAACCATCCATGGCTTTAGGAAGGAATGACGTGATGAGGATGGATGAGACCAAGACCAAGAAAGAAGGTGGAGAGAACATTTGGAGGTTGTTTGAAGAGTCCAGGCCAGAAATGAGGGTGGCTTAGAACCAGGTAGTGGCAGAGGGATGAAGAGGATGTTGGGGTTCAGGGGATCTAGTCCCTGTATTTGCCGCAAAATGGAGGTCAGGTCTTAGGAAAATGGGCCATAAGGTTGGATCATTTAAGCAAATGTAGATTCCAGATTATGCAAACACGATTTAAAAACAACTGATACGTCATTTTGAAAGTCAGTCGTTTAGGGTAATGGTTACTCTTTTCTGAATGGAGAGTGTAGGACTATAATACCTGTATAAAGAATCATTTCTCATCGACTCGACAAGTCTTCCATTTGGTTATCACTGATAAACAAAAATAATTGAAGAATCAAATCAGCACTCAGGCTTTCTTACAAAATAGGAAAAAAAATAATTGAACAAGTGTAAAAGTAACTGAGTGCCATTAAAATGTATGTACGGCTATCTCTGAATGTTGAAAAATAAGTTTTAAGACTTTATCAAACAATTAAAATGCACATCGAAGAAAAATATGAATGGAATTCCTGCCTATCGATGTAATCCCATTTGCTTTAAGTCAAATCTCCTTTTACCTGTAACTCTGTACTGTTTATTTTACACCTTTTACATGCATAACTGGAATTCTCGTACCTGGAAATGTTAGCTTTCTGGAACGTAACTCAGAATCCGAAGGAATGAACAACTGTGTTATGGTAGGCAGAGTCGTTGTCACCAGATTCCTGTACTGAAGATCATGACTGTTTATCCTTGGAAGTGCCTCAGAATCCACTTAGCCTTATTTCAGAAAGTGTTATTTTTTCCCCTCAGCCCAGCAAGTATGCAGCGTGGGAGTAAGGTGCTAGATGCAGGCAGCAGGAAGAAAGTGAACAGCTTTTAAGTAGGAAATGAGGAAAAATGATCCGCAAGACACAAACACAGCTTAATGTTTTTTTTTTTTTTTCTCTCATGCCTTGGCCATTAGTGTAGGGGTGACGGTTCTACCCGCCTTTAGTAGCTCCAGAGAGCAGTCCTGTGTTGTAACACCATGTGTCAGAATTCCTATCTACCTCTCACGCATCAGTAAAAGAAAGGGTAAAATGAGTTTGTTCTATTCTTTTTATATCAGAAAAACGTATATGCTATAAATTTCTTTCCGAAATAGCTTAAATTGATTAGGAGTTCTGGAAATTGAGGTAAGAGGAATAGTTCTTTGCAGACACTTAAGAAATGAGGTGTGACCGATGCAGAGAGATGGTAGTGTGATCCGGAATATGTAGTGGTTATCTGTCACAGTGAGAAATGATACAGAGAATGCACAGCCTCTGCCCCCGTCTGCTCACGAAGGCTATAGCACAGCAGTGCAGGATGCAGCTGTTAACTGTCGAGCCATTAACGCTGAG